CACCAACACACCCCGATCTCCCGCATGCGAACTCCGAACCTCACTCTCTTATAATTCACACAGCGAGACAGCCGCACGCAACACTCTCGCCCGAATCCGCAAACACAGACACGCACAATAGATGCTTAAACTCGTACTCTGAACAAATAGATCAGGTTTTATGTGCGGTTTAGTCTTCCATCGCGGGTCACGGCCAGCGGGAGTGTAATGAAGGCATTGCGGATGCAGGAGGTCCCATGCCGTGCGCCCCGCTCAGCTGTCGTATGCTGTCCCATCCACACACATTACGCGCCCATTCCCACGGTCAGCACTCGGCTGCGCTGCCCCAGGTGAGGCACGCAAACCACGCCGGTTCTGAGTACTGCACAAACACACGCACGCGCGCGCTCACACAACCCTCTAACTACACTGCCAACGCCTTTGCAATCGCCGCGAGTTACGAGGCCTCTTCCCTTTCGTATTCGCAAGACGCGGCCATGTGGGGAAGGGCGTCGATTGCCTGTCACCGTTTCGATGACTGCGCGAGCATTGGATTGCTTCCATCAGGAACTGTGATGGAGCGGAGCGGTGTTGGAGCGGAGATTGCGGCCGCCACATTGTGTCGTTGCGCCCAAGTGATGGGGCCATTCGCCCGGAACATGTCCTGTATGTCCACTCCACGCCGCAGTGGAGGCCATGCGAGCCGCGCGGGGGAAGGGAAACAGGCGATTGTAATGTGAACGAAATAATAGGAATAAATAAATAACGATAAAGATGAGCGTTACGATCATTGTAGGTTTTGATGGTAATGGTATCAGTTGCATTATTTTATTTTTCCTGTTCTAGTCATTATTTTGAATATTTGTTATTCATTATGCATTTTCTTGATCGTTTATTACTATTATTATTGGTGATGGTGCTGTGATTATCACTGTTATCAACATTATTAAGCCTGCACATTTTTTCGACCAAATTAACAATAACGATATTTATTTGATGATAACAACAGTTACAATAAGGATCAATGGATATCTAGTCATAATGGTAATGAGTACCATAATGTTGATCGGAACGTAATGTTCCTAAAAGAAGAAAAAAAGAAAATTTATTTTGCTTATCTGCAACTCAGCAGTGGCAAGGCCACATGATGCTCATCAACAGACTCTGGCAGCACAAGAGTTCAGAGCTGGAAGTGTGCAGCATCTCAACTGTGTCTTACTGGTCCTGTTGCAAGTGTCCTGAGTGTGTATGTGTCTGCGGAAATGTCTGATTTCAAGCGTTGCATGTGCCCTGCGAAGGAGGTGGTCCTTGAAGATGGAATGCGCGGTCCGTGCGGGGTCAGCATGGCCATGTGGTCCTGGAAGCTGGGTTGCGTGGTGCATGTGGGGTCAGCATGGCCATGTGGTCGTGGACGTCTTAGTGCAGCATGTGACCCCCCCCCCTACCCACCCTCGCAATGGCTTGCTTCCTCCGAGCCCAATCCGTCAGACAATTAATTACATCGGTTGTTATTACACGGATGTTATGCTGCAGACGAAGGCCGAGCGGAAGGTGCGTGAGCTCGGGGCCCGCGTGCTGTCTGTCTGTTGCCACACGGCTCGACCGCCGCTCCCTATATCATATTAATTACCGAGGGGACGCGCACTTGCTGATGAAATTGTTGGTTGCATAGACATCCGTACATCGGTCTGTGAGTGATGGTGATTATAGTCTGTGCGGCGGCGCCCTGGTCCCGAGGTGCTG